TCTATTGAGTTTTGTTTGGTAGTAGACTGGTAGTATATCCTAGAAATTTTCTCTGTAATAATACTGCATAAATACAAATAAAACAAGGCTAAGCCAGCATTTAAAAAAATATATATATATATATATATATATTATATTTTCAAAAAAAAACTCTTTCTGATGATTCTTTGATCATACTGTATATAAAAAAGATATTTACAAGAAGTTTTTATATTTTTTTATTAATAAAGTCTTAACACTTTCATTAAAACAACTTGGAGTATAACTTCAAAAGTCACTTTTACACTTTTCCTCTTATTTACAAATCTTGTTACTCAAAAACTTGACTTCTAGTAACCAAGAAAAATCAAGTAATACCTTTGATACCAATGGCTAGAAAGTTTTTAAAGAAAGAAAAACTGATTATAAAGTACCTGAAGATCTTTCTAACCTTTGAAGTGAGAGGTGTATAGAGGTTTTCTATAATAAAAGGCTTATTTTCTCCTTTTTTAACTGTCTGTATTCTCTTAAATCTTTTACTTTCATGATTTTCTAAAAAATTTTGCCTACCTCAGTTTGATTCTGAATTTTGGATAATACAAATTCTCACCAAAAGTAATTGGCTGATACAAAACACATTAATTTTAAAATGTAAACAAGCTCTTATTGATTACACTCATATGTTCTGATAATGTCATTGATGATTGAAAAGAATGTTCCAAAAATGTTCACACTTCAAAAACTCAAGTTCTTTAAGAAAGACATTTATAATATCAAAAGATTAAGAGATGGGTAATATGAATTGCAAGTTCCTATCTCTTCCCTAAGCTCCTCAGATATTGACAAAGCTTTAATGAACAAAAGCTGAAATCTAAATACTTTTTTTGAGATATTCCAATCTAGTGCTCACTTAAATGATAGATTAGTTGGATTGGCTTATTCGATGCTGCAAGTGGTGATAAAGAAGATTTTTTCCGAGGCTCAAAAGAAGCAAGAAGATTATCTCAATTAGGCAGATTCCTTTTGAGAAGAGTATTGCTTTTTTTAAAAAAATTTTTTGGTAGAACCTTTAATTGTTCCCTTTTACAAATTTTTTTTTTATTTCTCTTAATTTATTATTCATAGTTTATAAACAATCTATAGTGATAAACTGTTGGTGATTAATCTAATGGATAGAAATTATATCAATTCTCTAAGAAAATGAAATATTGTTCCCTAGATCTGACTTAGAGTATTTCGATATAACAATGAGTTAGTCATTATATGAAAAATCTGTAATATTGTAGATAGTTATATTACTTCTCAATAAAGATCAAGCGATGTAACATATTTGTAGGTTAAAAAAAAAATTTAAATATATTTCATTTTCAAAAATTTTTAAGATAATTTAGATTAAATTTATTAAACAAAGTTTTTTTTTATAAATCATATTTTTAAAATACTTAATAAAACCTATAAAATAATTTTATTTCTTATATAAAAAAATTTAACTTTTAAAACTCTACTTTTTAAAAAAAAAATGATATAATAAAAAATAATCTTTAATATTATTAGATAGTTATTTATAATGATCTGTGAATCAATAATGCAGTAAGTGCACTCTCAGGTCACAATTCGTGAGTTACTGATTCAATTCCACTTGAGAATAGTTTTTCACAATATAAGTTATGTTGTACAAGATGTATGCTCATCACCATATGTACCTTTGTACTCATAAGAATCTATAGATTACCACTATCCAATTACGATATAAAAATAGGTTACTCAAGCCTTGTCCAATTTTAACACTAAGGAAACCTTCGATTGACTTGTTATTTGAAATATGTAGGATCCAACGACAAATCAAAAAAGAATGTCAATTAGCTTAAACCTTTTAACAGATATGGGAAGGATATTCACCTCTTGTCAAAACTACATCCTATATAAGATAAAGGAGACTTCAGTTATTTATATCTATCAAAATATAACAATAATTAATGAAAGATCTCTATAATTGCAAAACCAATGGCTACCAAAGAGAACAACTATTGCAAAGACTGGTGGTTAGCATTAGCAACATGTTGGAAATCACAGGAGTGGATTAGTAATTTGAAAGAAATAATTCAGAAAGTAACAACTAAGGGAAACTCTTGTAGGCCAGCTTGCAAAAGTGATTAAAAATGAGGCAATAGAAGACTATATATCACTCAATTATATGACACTATTAAATTATTTGGATATCAAAAATAAACTTGCAGAAAACTCAAATACAGTAGAAATCATCCATGATATCCATGATTATTAAGTGGTAACAAAAAATCTTACTAAGGAACATAGAACACAAGCCCCTTGAAGATTAACAATAAAAAGTCTATAGTGAATCTTTGGAATGCTATAGTCCTGGACAGAGCAGAGCAACTGACAAAAATGGTATCATTATGTAGTAAAATTAATGAATTTAGTTAGAATAGGTAGTGTAATCAAAGGTTATATAAATCGCTTATATAATCTAATATTATTGAATACTCAATAAAGTTCATTCTGTCAGTTGGACTAGTTAAAAAAAAAAAAAAAAGATAATTATTTTTAATTATAATTTTCTTTTTGTTTTTTATTTATTTATTTATAAATATTTTTTTAATATTATTGATACTTCAATAGTAAAAATTATTTTATTAAATATAATATATAATATAATTTAGTAAAAATTAGATAGATCAAATAATTTAAGTGATTTAAAATATTAAAAATATATAAGTAATAGTAATTTATTTAAAATAAAAATAGATTGTTATAATAATTTTATTTAATTTTTAAAAAATTTAATATCTTTATATAATACAGTATATATATATATTTTAATTTATTAGTAAACTGAAATTTTGAACAAACTATATTTCTTGTGAAACATTATGAGATATTATTTAAAGAAATTTTAAATAAATCTTTTTTTAACTATTCTTTATCACCTTTTGATTTTTTTATCAAGAATTTATTTCTTAAAAAAGCTATTTTACTTAAATATATTTTATTAAGGATGGGTTTTTAAAGAAGGAAACAAAAATAAAAAGTTAAATATCCTTCACTAGAAAAATTAAAATTTTAAACTAATAATTATTTTAAAACCATTCACTACAATTCTTTATTATTTAAATTATTGATTTTATAGCAATTCCTGAATTTTATCCTTACTAAAGTAAAGAGATACTGTATGAATTTTGGTTTTTAAAAAGGAACATAAATGGTTTGTGAAATTTTATATGCTAAATACTTTAGGGATCTACTGTATCATTAAATGAGGTCGAATACAAATTTGATCACAATACTTAAAAAATTGGTATGATTTTTAAATATGTTAAATTCAATGAAATCGAAGTTTTATATCAGACAACATTCTAATTGATAATCAGGATTAACTAAAACGGATTTACTTTCAAAGAATAATGTATCAATTTTGAATTAGAACCGGAGTAATTCGTGGTTCGAATGATATATTGTTTTTTAAAATAAGTGTATAACATACAATCCTATTTTAATTCAAGACACCAACTAAGCAATTAAACTATCCACATTTCTTATTCCCTCCTAAGGAATGAAAAACGTTATTTGTGAGAAGGGCGAAATGATACTGTAATTACATCATTTTAAAAATGCTTTATTAACAATATGTAAATTATTATAATTTCCTATCAATGTTGAATTTAATACTTCTAACATTAATAAATAATACACTTTAGTAATCACAGTTTCACATCGCGTAGAAAAACTCATCTTCCCCTTCATCATCACTCAATATAGCGTCTTCCTCCTTTATCGAATTGTCATAAACAATTATCTCAGAGTTTCTTTGGGGTTGTGTAGTTTCTTCGGATACAACTGATGATGCAGCAGCGGATGGCGCCCCCGTACCCCGTTCCAACTCTGACGAGGGAGCTCTTTGTTGTAATTTTGCGGCCATCCTCAACGCATTGTACTCTTCTTGCTGTCGCTGTAATACCATCATTCTTTCTTGTTGTGACGATTTTCTCGGTTCCGACTCTACTGCTGTGATAGGAATTACTGTGCTTGCATTATTTGATGACGACGTAAGAGACTGTTGTGGTAGAGGAGATTGAGATCTCGCCACACCTAATGATTGTGGTAATGGCGGCACTGGTTGTGCCATACCATCCTTATCCATGAGGTAAGGTATAACGCTTGGGTCGGCCTTCTCCACAGCTATAAATTCGGACCCATGAACTTTTCCTAGAGGTTTCGTTTCACTATATGCCATCTTTCCATCTTTCGATATTGAAATATTTCGTTTTAATAGTGGTATTGGTGATTCAGATACTGGTTTCGATGCTGCAGGAGCAGTTGTTGATGGCGGTGTAATGTTCGCAGCAGCAGTTCTCGAAGTGATTGAGGTCGGAGGCGTGGCACATTTATCCGTATTAATATTTTTTTCCAAAAACCGATCTGCGTAAGGGTCAGCGGGTGAGGAAGGAATCCCTGGTCCGGAACCGATTTTGCTTTGTGGAAGAACTATAGAATTTCGATTTGCGGATCCGGCATGAATTGAATTATTACCAATTGTTTTGCTCACAAATCCTTTCCGGGGGTAGAAGATCAAAATTAGAACCAACCATTCGATTAATGATGCGATATTAATGTGAGATATTAATATATCACTAAAAAATTAAAACGGGAAAATTTAGTGTTGCTATGCCTTCTCTGCCAGTAAAAATAGCAGTTGTGTGTCGAAGCAATTTAGCATACAATTCATACCTTGCAAGTTTATTACTATTGATGGGTCGTGTAGTGGAAGTAAGGTCGATGGATAACAAGAAAAAACTCGCACACATCACAAACAGCGCCAGAGTGAGCACCTTATTCATATCAACGAAATATCGAATTCTGGCAATTATATGCGCTACATTTCGATTGGCTGCTGAATCTTCAATCAATTTGTTGAATTTGAAATGGGTTCTGACTCCCAGTATCATGATGATGAACAGTTGAGAAGCGAATACTAGTTGGGGAACAACCTGAGTTCGTTAACAATAATAATAAAAGTGAAACTTGAATAAAAATCCAATTATCTAAACGCGTAAGTAAAATGTAGAAATCAATTTCTCCGACGTACCTCCCGTAATAAAAGGTTATCTCGAAAAATAATTTGTAATATTGGATAAATGCACACAGATACTAAACTGCAAATAATGTAAAGCTTGAATTCGAAACTTGACATGAATGAAGCTTTTGCGATCGAGTTGGATAGATAGTTCCAGAAACATTGTAATAAAAATAACGTCCCACTATAGAATATAAATAAAGGTTAGTACCATAATAGAATACGTTTAAAAGCGCCAATTTAAAAATAAATGAAAAATAAAAAATAAAAATAATAATAATAATATATATGTATGTATGTACATTTGCAAGCTGTAGCTAATCATCTCGGTGTAGTAACTTGGATTAATCCATATCTTATTGTCGTCCGACCACAAATCTTCTGGTTTAGATCGAACCTTCATGTTTGGATATAGATACAGGCCTTCGGTATATTTTATTTTGGACTTTTCATAAAAAAAGAGAATCAATCAAATTAAAAACCTTGAATCTAAAAATGATCGAAGAATCAAAGACAAATGATTACCGAAACGATATCATATAATGAACCCAACGGAAGCGCTAATAATATGAGAATGGTAACATATGACTTTAATTCTAGTGATCTTATTCGTTGCCATTTCAACGCCGCAAATTGGTCACACTATATTAAGAATGAAAGAGAAGATTAATATTTACAAGTGTATTCTCAAAAAATGGGTTGAAAAGTTGAATGTAATTAGAAAAGTTTTGTTCGTACCCGCCAGACATGAATGACAAACCATATCCATATATAAACTTCGTGAACTGATCGTTCTATGATTCATTATAAAGAAAAAGAAATAATATGTTTGCATTAAAGTTTTGTTAATGAATCGATCATATATCAATAACATTAAATCTCTAATTCTTCATAAGGTTGCTCCCTATAGCAAGGAATCTCGGATCTCAAGTAACATGGTAACTAAATAAAGGAACACCTACCGAGAAAAGAATAGTCACTTAATAGTTCGAATTGCGATTGAGAACTTACATCCGTCGACATATTTATGAAAAATATTTTTTAAATAAGGGAACTCACAATAAGCAAACGAAGTAAAAAAAAAATATTGAGTTTGGTTTGTGATTTATTTATTTTTTTTTTAAAAACTAAGGTTCATGTGCATATACACATCGTTTGTAGAGGAATAGGTTGTATGTCACCGGTTATGTGTTTGTGTCGGAGAGAGTAAACGAAAGAAAATGATATTAGCAATGAGGAGCGAAGAGAGCGAGAAGAATGGAAAGTGTAAAAGGAAATAGTTATTGTGCTTGAGCACAAGCATATGTCGATATATGGATCATTTCAAATTACAGTGTTTATGTTGTGAAATGTTACATTGAAGATTATACACACTTGGCGAATCTTTCTAGGACAAATAAAGCAAAAATACGAATTGCTGTAAATTCGAATGTTCAATTCGAATTTAATATCGTTACTCAGTTACGCATTATTTCCCTTTTATAGGTAACCGTAAACGTTAACCCGTGATTAATATGTACATCTACACGAGACATTTAAGGATAGCAAGTAATTAATTCATCTCGTCGTTATCGTATTTAAATGTCGAGAATCTAACCATAGTGAAATGAATAAACTGTCGATTGCGAATCTATTTATGTAAAAGCCACATACTGTGCGTATGAGAGTGAGCGGCGTGTCGATTATATGCATAATGAAATTGTTTATTAAAATTATGTAACATTTTGTATTTAGAAAGAATATCTCTTATAATTTGAATTCTATTATTCTATTTAATATACTCTGCAAACTTTATAGTTCTAAATTAAAAAAATAATAAATTTTGAAATATCAATATATTAGTTTAAAATTTTTATTTTTTTATATATTGACTTTATAGTAATAATATGTTTCTAATAAATAACTATAATAGAATAGATTTATTTTATTTCATTTTATTTTGTAATTTTTTTTAAAAAAAAATTAGCTCATCCTTATATTAGGATGAATAAGTTTTATTAAAATAAGAAAAATATCTTGAATGAATAATTACCTATATTGTCTAAGAATTTATGGATTATTGAATAATATAAAGTATTTATATCTCATCCAATTAGAATAAAATAATTACATAATTGTTTAATATAGATATTATACTTATAAAAACAAAATATATTTTGTATACTAGTATTTTCTAGAATCATGATTCATTGAGTGACTTATTATTTCAAAAAAGAAAGTTAATATATCAAGAATTTATTTGAAATACTTAATATCATCAATATTAAAGATTTTTTATAGTAAGTTTTAATTTCATTAGTGCTTAATAAAAAATTTTTAAATATAGATTTTATTCAAGTTTTGTTTAGGAAAATAGGATATTATAACTTGTTAAAAAATATAATTTCAATATGTAGATAAAAGTATTAAAACTTTTTAAAATATATAGATTCTTATGTTTATAGTTATATTTATTGAAAAAAAAAAAGAAGAAAATTGATATTATTATTTATTTAATTTAATCTAATTCAGTATAATCAATAATATTATATATTTTATATTCTATATTTATTTATATCCAGGTAACAAATTATTTATAATGAATATTAAGTTTTTATAAGTATTAAAAAAATATATTTAGATATATGAAATAATCAATGGAAGCTTGTTTAAATCTTAATTATTAATATATTTTTATTGTTCAATTATTATATAAAAACTTTTTTATATTACTCAAAATTTATAATTAAATTAAAATAGATAAAATTTTTTAAAAATAATTATATAAAAGTACTATTAAAACTCTAAACTATAAAAAAAAATGATAAGATTGTTTTAAAAGAATTTTTGTTACAGTACATATAAAACTTTGTTATTTTTTTGATAAATAAAAAGGAAGATAAAAAATTAGATTTACTTTTTTTTAAAACTTTTTTATTATTTATAAAAAAAATAATTATTTGTTTATATAAGCTTTAAAACATTATATTTATTTATAATAATAATTATAAGATAAGTATTAAAGGAATACTATAATAACATAGTTTTTCTTCATAAAAAAAAGAAAACTTCAAGAAAACTGGTTCATGATAAGCTTCTGAAAGTTCAATCTCAACTCTACAAAGCTTTTAGCCAGGTTAGTACAAGTTAACCTCTTTTTAATACTAAGAAAAACACTATAGGCAATAACTTCAGTCTATAAATCAATTAAAGTTCAGAGTTTACAATACTTAGGAAAATATTCAGGTTTCAATTACTTAACAATAGAGAGTGACATAAATAACACAACAATACTTTATACATAAAATTATATAATACAAACATATACTTGTATAGCAGCTCACTTATATGTTTAATAAACAACTTATTTATATATTTATGCTTCATACTCACATATGATAGTCGTTATTAATAATATAATAGATTTAAAAATAGTAATATAACTTACAATTAATTAATCAATACCTTGTTTATATAAACAAGAGCAAACAAATAAATATAAACAAATAAATAAACAAGTGCTACTAAAATAAAAAAGTAATAATTATCCTCTAACTTAGTAAACCTTAGCAATATCCAAAACAATAAAACAATTTTTTTTTTTTTTTTAAATGCCAGCTCAACCTTTACTTTATTAGATATAATTTTTAAGTATTAATGTAATACATATTAAAAATATAATTGTAAATCTATAAAGCTGCGATATGACTATACTGGTTAACCTCGGGCATATTGCTATCTCTAAAGTAAGAACTAGTGAAGGGCCACTAGTGCTGAAAAAAAATTTTATAGGGGTAAGAAGGGAGGTCAGAAAATAAATAAGTAGATGGGATAGTTAATCTGTATATACAATTTCTTGCTGTACGACTTTTTTAGGAGGGAAGAAAATTTTATTCAGAATATTCATTAAAACCTCTTAGATAGTGCTAAATACCCATTTATATAAGACCTGTGGGTCAATAGTGCAGTGGTAGCACTCCCAGGTCACATATCGCAAGGTTGTGAGTTCAACACCAGGG